CAGAAATATTGCATTTAGTATTCGGTTGAACCATATGAAATGGCCAATATTTGGCCTTTTTTACCTATAGCAATGGCCATTCCACCATGGTTAGACCTAATTGAATGACTGAGTCATTTGCTTACATTTTTATTTTTAAGAGAAAGAAAATGATAAAGCAACCCACTAAATCAAAACCAAGTAATATTTGCAGACTGTGATCAAATGGTCATGTAAGGAGGAACCTATTCCAAAATCATAACTACTCCTCCAAGTAGGCAATCTTAAGAGTAAAACATCTTTTCATTATATTCAAGAAAGGTAGGCAGCAAGGGCATAGAGCCTTCCGTTGTGACAGAAGTTGCAGTGGATATAGGAAACTCTTTTTAAAGATTTTTTATTGATTTTTTTCAGAGGAAAAGGAAGAGAAAGAGAAACATCGATGCAAGAGTGAAACATTGATCTGCCTCCTTCAGGCCTCCCAATGGGGATTGAGCCAGAAACCCAGGATTGTGCCCTGAGATGGCAACCTTGTGCTGCATGGGATGATGCCCAACCCACCAAGCCACACCAGCCAGGGCTGAAACTTTCATTTTCAGTACAAAAGGGCTTATGATATTAAAGTCTTATTGTGACACTAGAAGCCCAGTGTACGGATTTGTGCACTGGTGGGTCCCTTGGCCTGGCCTGCACTCTCTCGCAATCCGGGACCCCTCAGGGGATGTTGGAGAGTTGGTTTTGGCTCAATCCCCACAGGTCAGGCCTGGGATCCCAATGGTGCACAAATCCATGCACCAGGCCTCTAGTATGCATATAAGATCTTTGGTTAATCTCTTCCTGCCCTCTCCCCTCCCCTTCCCTCTGAGATTCACCAGTCTGTTCCATGTTTCCATGCCTGTGCATTGAGAGTCTTCCCCCTGGTGGTCATTGCATGTCATAGCTTCTGACCGGTTGGCCGGTCATTTAGGCTTTTATATATATATATATAGACTAGTAGCCTGGTGCACGAAATTCATGCACATTAACACATTGTATGTGGGAAACATATTTATACGTTTTACGTTGACTGGTAGTAGAGCATGGGACACGTATTTTATAGACGTGGGATACGTTTTTTATAGACTAGTGGTAGAATGCGGGTAATGTATAAATACGTAAACAAAAGTTATCGTAATTTTACTGAACATTGCCATTTGCGCAAAAAATTAGCAAAAATGGCCCGCGCCACCTGTTAGCGCGTGATAAAAACTACCCGCAAACAATGTGTTAAAAGGGAATTAATTAGCGGAGATATTTTAATATTGCTATTTGCCCTTTATAATAGAAGTGTGAGAGATGAAAGGAAATTAGTAAAATGTATATGAAAATAATATATAAATTTATTAATAAATAAACAGTAACAAAAGGATATAACAACAGAGGCATGATATAAAAATAACAAAAACATGATATAAAAACAACAGTGATGCAAACAATGACTGATAAAGTGATTAAACTTATTCTAATATCTCCCTGTACACCACATTAAGAGTGAAAACACTTTCAGAGTGCTTGATTAATTTCCCTTGTAATGAAGTATTTAGAACTTTAACTGTAACGTCACATGCTTTTCAAACTCGAGAGAAAGCATCATATAACTGACCATGTGCGAAAACGGGTTCAGGTAGGAATATGTCTACTCTGTCTAGAGTCTGTCCTTGTGATTTATCAACAGTCATCACAAATGCTGGCATCATGGGAAACCGTCATTGAATCAATTTAAATGGGAGGCCAGTGTCAGATGGGAACAAATTAATTCTTGGAATCAGAACAACCTCTCCCTCTGCAGATCCTGTTAATACTTCAGCTTCGATAATGTTAGGTCATAATCTTTTGATAATAAATCTGGTACCATTACAAAGACCCCATTTACTATTGAGATTTCTCAATAGCATGATTATTGCACCCACTTTCAATTTTAATTTATGACATGGCATTCCTGAAGGAGTAATACTATTAAGAAATTCGATGGGAAAATTTTCCTTTTCAGCAACATCTGTGGAATCAATGGAATCATCACTCAAATATGTGTGAAAATCTCCATCGAGTATATCCAAAATTTCCTCATTTAATTTTTGAACATGCTCATTTTTTGGACAAAGAATTGCACGTTTAGATACATTTTTAATATTATCTATAAATATAGTATTTCCAAAGGTAGCTTCAATAATAGATCCATTACAAATCATTTCACAGATTTCAATAATATCCATTCCTAAATGAAAACTGCTATCAAGTTTGCCGTCTCCAAGTTTTACTAACCATCCACTATAAGCAGAATCCTCTGATCTCATATTTGTTGTAAGAGACAACTTTCTGAAACATCCCCGAACATTGCAGTACTTTAAACTTGTTTGTACTATGGCCGATCCCATAGAATGCGGTACAATACTGAGACATTGTCGAAAATCCCCTCCAAGAAGGAGAACTTTCCCACCAAATACAACATTCAGACTCATAATTTCTCTTAGTAATCTGTCTATGGCATTTATAGCATGACTGGATGCCATGGTGCATTCATCAATAATGAGAAGTTGGGCCTTTTTAGTAGTTTTAGCAGCTTCACTCTTTATATCGAGTCTAGAAATTGAAGTTTCATTTAATGGAATCAGTAATTTATATTGGGAATGGAAGGTGCTTCCACCGAGAAGTAAATTTGCAGCAATTCCTGTAGACGCTGTAGGTAAAACAGTACCACCACGACCTCTAATATAATGTATTAAAACTTTATACAGATATGCAGGTGAATAGGATTCCTAGCTGGCAGGCCCCTGATAGCAAGTTGGCCACCTGTTGATTCCGTAAGGAATGGGGCTCCCTCCTCCCTCCTGTCAGGGTCCAGGGTGCAGGTGAATGGGGTTCCTGGCTGGAAGGCCACTGAGAGCAAGCTATCCAACAGCAAATTCTGTGAGGAATGGGGCTGCCTCCTCCCTACTGTCAGGGTCTGGTTTGAAGGCCGGCCACGCCCCCTGTCGGGCTAGACCCAGAGTTCTACCACACTGTGGCCACTGCCTCAGCAATCCAGGACTGACTGCTGCTGGGCACTCCTGGCGCTCCGAGGGTGGGTTCTTCCCTCAGGCCTCGCGGGAAGCAGCTCTGGCAAGGCAACCCAGGACTCAGTACTTCCACACTCTGCTCCAAGGGTGAGGGCGGGTTCCTGCCTGAAACCTCACCCTCTGGGAAACAGCTGGGGGAGGGCGCAGCCGTTTCCAAGACGACCCCTGCAGGACTGACTTCCTTCCGGTTGGTCAAGCTTCTGGACGTGATGTTACACCCAGGGTTTTTATATAAGTAGATAGATTATTTTCAGTGATTGCATGTTTTATTGGCTGGCTTGGAATGAAGGTTCACCACAGCTCCACTAGTAAATGGCCCCATTGTGATTACTTATAAATCAGTTTTATTGTAGTGCTGGGCTAATCAAACATCAGCTCATGTCTAAAAGCATGACTAAAAAGTAATGCACCATTTGGTAACAGGATTTGTGGAACTTGTGTCATGCCATTTTTATCTGTACACAATATTCAACCATCTCACATTGTAAAGAACAACTTAAAATAAGGTGCTAATAATCCTGGGCCACATTTACACAAACAAAAAGCACCAAAGGGAATGCTGTTCTTGATTTACTTGCACTGAAAATACATCAATGCTTGTAAAATTGGAACAAAGATCCTATGGGTAAACAGTCGCTTTTAAGCTAGCCCCAAATGATTTGTAGCCCTTCGAATATCAAGAGCTTGAGGCATGCACTCTGTCTATAAGACACTGTTTCTGGAACATTTTCCAGACATCTAGAGAAGAGCCTGATATAGCAGCAGACATAGAAGCATTCTCCATTTAAGAGAAAATAGGAATGTTATCTCTATTAACTATGACTATTGCTATTTTCATGGAATCTAGAGTGATTGACAGCACATACTCTTTCTCAGATAATACTGGGAGGCTGGTTAGAGATATGACTAAGCTGATCGGCACAGTACTTTTGAGTTATGCAAATAGACAAAGCAATCTCTGAAGCAGCATTACTTTATCTCAAAGAGCATCAGCCAATGCTATAAAGTAGCAAAGCCCAGAAGTGGCAGAAATCGTTCACGTCCTAAGTGTGCTGTGCTAGAGGCCCTGTGAGCAGCACAGCCAGTGCAGTCTTTCCAGACCAAACATGTGGGGCATCTTCACTGCACTTACGGACCAGCTGAGGCTCTATGATGCCATCATGGAGTCGAATGCTAAGAGGGCCTCAGGGTCCCTGATGGGGCCCTCTGTGCTGAGCAGCTTTACCTGGTTCCAAGCTCCATAGGCAGGTGGTTTCAGGAGGAGGAAGGCATTGTTCAAAGTCACTCAGAATGGGTGGGATTCTTTCCTCAGGCAAGAGTCTTTCCTCTCTAGGTCTGGTAAGAGAAATAGGCAAGACAATGCATGTGCTCCCTGGGGTAGGGACTTCTGAATGCCTGCTCTTGGTCCTCCCTACTTGTGCTGAGCTGAATTTTGCAACCCGTAACTTCTTCCTATAGGTAGATTTCTATTCTCTGGGCAACAAAGAATTCCTCATCCATTCAAAAACAGGAAGTCAGGGAATCTTGTCAGCCTTATTTTCCTTGCCCATTCCTCTTAGAATTCTCCAACCCGGGTCCCCTGACACCCTTGGTCATTCTGAACTCACAGAGTCGGAATTGAGGAGAGCTTGACTAGCTGCCTGTTCAGCCTACAGCTCAGTCTGCCCATCAGGATAGTCTAACCACCAACTGCATCAGGATGTGCGTGACTCTCAAGCTGAAGAAGTAAAAGATAAGCGTTTGGGTTATTTTCACTTTTATTCAAATAAATACAGTAACTGTACACAGCCTAATGAGCTCTCCCACCGGCTCTCCTTTGTGAGTGGGTGTACTTAGATTTTAGAGGCGCACTGGGGGTCACACCATCAGACACACCGTGGTGCCACTTGCCCACATGAGAATGAATGAGAAGAGAACAGACATCTCTTTGGGTACAAAACATTTTAATAACATATCTTTGGATAAAATGCAATTGTCTTCTTTCCTAATTTCCTAAATCAGGCACTTGAAAATGAGAAATATCAGGAATGGACAACCTGGTTCATTAAAACTCATTGGATTCGATTTCCTAAGAAAATGCAAACAGTGTGGGAGGAAATGGCATTTAGTGTTTGCCAGCAGAGTTAGTAAGACTGATAATGACTAAAATATTTTTAATGTGCTAGAGCTTGATTCACAAATGCAGAAGTTAGAGAAATTTCATTTGTTGTTAATTAGCTTTTCCTGACATTCTGTCTTTATGATTAAGTAGTTTCTTTAGTTTGAAAATGGTTTGATTAATATCACCTTTATTGGGAAAAACTTCGGTCCTCTCTGGCCTGGCCTAGGTACCCCACCTGTTCATTTGAATATTAGTTATGGCTTCAATAGCTGACTGATGGTTTGGTTCTACAAGAAACCAGTTTAGGTTCTTATCTAAAGCCAGTAGGGCGAATATAACCTAAGTGGGTCAAATTCAATTTAAAAATCTTACTTGTTCTAGTCAAAAGGCAGTCAAAGGCAACTTGGTCTATAGAATGGCAGACTGGGAGGTATGGGCCAGATGTCACGCTATCACCCCGTCAGCATGAACAGACATGGCACTGGGGAGGGCTGCAGTGCCTGGAGGCCGGCCTTTCTGTGGCGTCCTGCTTCAGAGCAGCTTCCCACAGCGCCGGCCACTGAGCCCAATTCCTCTGTGAAGATGCTATTTGACTCAGCAGCAGCCCAGGGGAGTGGGAATAAGGCTGATGTGTGAGAACCACTCCTGTCTCCTGTGACAGCAAAGGTTGGCAACATTGTCGAGAAGCCTGAGCAAGTCTACTTTCTACAAGTAAAAAAAACCCCAACCATCTCACAGTCATTTCTTTAACAATAAAACTAAACTACTCTGAAAAAGAATATATTTTTAAACGCTTTGCCACATTTATAAAAAGAAAAAAACACAAAAGATTTCAACAATTGGAAAAAATCCTTTAAAAACATTGTATCAACAACCTTCTTATTAAGAAATAAGAAACACTTGGTTTAAGACACTTGGTGACTTCCTTACATCATGCATCAGGGGATGGACACACTCAGATTTTACTACTGACATCTACTTGGTAAAAATGGTAGGAGTTCTGTCAACAGGATAATTGTTTCGGAAAGAAGCGTTACAACTTTTTTCCAAAATGTCAAAAAGAATAAGGATGTAAACATACATTACTTAAAATAGTAATACAACAATATTAATTCAGTTAAATAAATAAAGCGGAACCAACTTTATGGCAATTTTTCAACATAAAAATGTAGCTCAACGATATCTTAAAATACAGAATTGCTCCAAACAGAAGCAGTCATTCTTAGCACAACCACGAGCATGAAGCAAAGTGCTGGGAGATGAAGCAGCTCTGCACTTGACCTTGCTCCTCTAGGAGCAGAAACGCCGCCTGGGTCTTCTGGTCTGAAATATTCACAATGAAGGGAAAGTCGGCTGCCCTAAACACCAGGCTTAGGGCTGTCTTTTGTCATTTTTCTTTTTTCTTCAAGTGTGTGCTTAAATATTTTCTTTAGGGTGCTGTAAACTATGGGTCCATTTTCAGAATCAAAATGAACCTGGTGACAAAGAAAATTTATATTCAGGACACTGAAACAAGAATTTTAACCAGTCTATTTTGGGAGAAAAGAAATGGGATGGGGACAAAATAATACTTATTAGCAAAATTATATATAACATTTTTAAAATTAATTAACTTTTTAAAATCCTCACCCGAAGATATTTTCCACTGACTTTTAGAGAGAGTGGGAGAGGGAAAGACAGAGAGAAATATCAATGTAAGAGAAACACATTGATTACTTGCCTACTGCATGCACCGCGACCAGGGCCCGGGCCAGGGAGGAGCCTGCAACCGAGGTATGTGCCCTTGACTGGAATTGAACCTGGAACCCTTTGGTCCTCAGGCCACATTCTACCCACCGAGCCAAACCGGTTAGGGAAAAATTATATATAAATTTAAAAGCATACACAATATGCCAAGCCAGCGTGGCTCAGTGGTTGAGCGGTGACCTATGAACCAGGAGGTCACAGTTCAATTCCCGGTCAGGGCACATGATTATGTTGTGGTCTCAATCCCCAGTGTGGGGCGTGCAGGAGGCAGCCAATCAAGGATTCTCTCTCATCACTGATGTTTCTATCTCTCTCTCCCTCTCCCTTCCCTTCTGAAATAAATAAAAATATATATTTAAAAAATACACACAATACATTTCTTACATTAATTTTAACTACATATTAGAATTGCTAATTACATCAATGACAAATTGGTCAATGAACACCCAAAGACTTAAATCTAGTGCCCGCATATGTAGTCTACTCATACACTGTCAGGAGTCCGGTCGACACTGAGTGTGCAGTGTGTTTTGGAACCAGAACCTGGTCACTGATGATATAAGGGCAAGGCCTCCTCATGAAAACAACGTGCACTAGCTACCAGTGTTGCACCGGGGTGGCCTGACAGGAGCCTGGCCTTCCACCTGCCCGCCATGCAGCCTCGGGTCATCTCTGGCCTCTCTATAAGAGGAGGCCGCATGCCCATCGCCTCAGGGTTTCGGTGAGTGCTATATATGAGATCCTGACATGGGTGTGACACACATAAAAGCCTATGTAGCCGTTTCCTTGGTGGGAAGGCACCATGTACACATAGGCAAACTATCTGCCCAAGTTCACTGTACTACAGGGTTAGGAGTGATGCAGGATGGACAACTAGAGCAATGACCATGCTTCCACCCCACCCGCAAAGACACATGTGACTCCTGTGACAGGATGAGATCCCTTGGCCAGTGACCCCCTCCTCCTGCTCCTGGAGGGAGGGAGGGCCATCCCCTTGTGAAGGGCTGGGAAGCGTCTGGGATTTCACTCTGCTCACATGCTGACATCTGCTGGCTTGGGGACCCTGGAAGGAGACACTAGACTGCTGGGCTGGAGACTAACAACCTTGTAACTTGAACAACATAATCACATGTGGGTTCCTTTGCCCTCCAGGTCACATGGGGGTGATGTGGAGGGCACAGGTGGACGCTGCACAAGCAGGGCATTTGCACCATAGCCGAGGATCTCAATGCGGGGCTGCAGCAAGCCTGCTGAGCTCTGCGTGAAGGGAGACACGGCCTTTTCTACACAGGAAGCCCAGGACAAGAGCTGTCACTCACTGCTCTTATGATTGTGCACAGGGGGAGAGGCCCAAGGACTCTCTCCTGACATTTTTATGGACAGATTTGGAACAGCTGGTATATTTAACTCTTCACTAGTATCTCCCTCAAAGGCCAAAAGGAGTTGTGAAGAATTTTGGACAGACCAATATTAAGTATCATTTTCAGTTAAATCAGACACTTATTTTTATCTTAACCATTCATTATATTGTCTATCATATTTATAGAAACTTACTAACATTAATAACAGTCTCCACTGTTTACTTTGGTAAGTACCAAACCACAGCCTTCCCCACACAGCAAGCAGCTTCTTGGTCTATGAAGGCCTATGAAAATGTAATAAAATATAGACATAAAGGATCATGTGACTGGGGTTTGCGCTGCTGACTCTGGAAACTTAGTGCCATAAAGCTCCAGATGAGGAACAAGAAAGCCTGCCGGAATAATATCACTTTGGAAAGAGCGGAGGCGGAGGAGACTGGTGAATTACCGATAATGACTGATATCATCATTAGTGTTTACCACAGACACCATCATTGAAATGCTGGGTTCTTTGTTTAATGACATTTTCATATCATAAGTGAGAAGTACCAAAAAATTAGCTGAATGGGTAAGGGAAACCTCTTCACTTGGCAGGCACCTGACTCTTCTTCAGCCAGGAAAGACTGTTATAAGCCAGAAGGATGTGCAGAAGAAGGAAACGTTTCTTACTCTCTGCTTAGGATTTGCCAACTAGAACACACTACCTAATCGTCAATGCTGGACACTGAATTCTCACTAGATGATTTCTTGTTCAGACCCAAGGTAGAACTGGCTCAACAACAAAATTCTCTGACTCCTACTAGCACAACATTTAAAATATTTTCTCAATACCCAACTGTTTCTCTTTATAAAAGCTCTTTGTTTCAATGTTCTACAAAAAAACCTCACAGGTCAGCTTTTTCTAATATCACTGTTAGAAAATGGGCAATTTTAGCCAAAAGTCTGCAACTACTTTTAAGAAATGTCAAACACATTTCCCCGAAGAGGAGATGTAGCTAACAGTTTTATTTTAGAGGAGGCAGCTGACCTCTGGATTCTAACTTGCAAAGATCATGCTGCTGTGGTCTGAAGGAGGGAAAGCGCCACCCACCTTGGTGAAAGCTTGGATGGCGTGGGCCAGGACAGCTTCCTCCACATCCACGGGAACTGGCTGCAGGCTCACCAGGCAGTGCAACACGCAAAGAATAGTCTGGTGTTGGCCCTGTTTTTTTGCAGAAATCGAAATCAAACAAGTTTTTTTGAAAAATGCCTCAAGAAATAAACTCAAAGCAAGTGGAGTGCCAGGAACTGGCATGTGACCAAGTGCTTATAACCTCCAACACTACACTCTCTGCCAAGGGCTCTACCAGTGTTTACTGTTACGTGTCTGAATGCTTTCAGGAGCTGCTTAGTTATTACATGAAGCACAATTTCAAATGAAATGTTTTTCTTGAAGTGAACTGAAGGGATGATCCACTCTTATTGTTTCTGGACACAACGGCGTCAGTTGGGCTGTGTATGCTGACATGTCATGGCAACCAGGGACCTGCTCGCCCTGCTTCCTGCAGACACTGGAGGACGGCGGGGTGTCAGGAGAAATCGGGCAGCCTCCAGGAAGCCTGGGAGCTTAGGAGAAAGGTCTCTGACAAAGCGTCCAGACTTGGTTCCTGGGGTTGCCCTCAGAGAAACAAAGGAGAAGCCCCACCCCTGCACAGTGGGCATCCCGTGCACATGGCCCTCAGAGCCACTGGCTGCACCTGGACACCTGCTCAAGCACACATAATCACAACAGTGACGCTGACAGAAGTAAGCCCCCGACATGATGCCAACGCCTACCCGTGGGCATGGAGTGAGTGACGATGGGAGCACACGCTGTGCCAGAACCGTGAACGTGAATCCTGCTCTGCCACAGGCTGCGTGCCTGGGGCAGTTATGTCACCTTCCCTTTTCAGTAAAACAGATCCTCTACCTTTCCGGGCCAGGGGGATGAACAAAGGTGAACACAGAATCTACAGTTCAGCAAGGGCCTGGCCCGCCACCACCCAAGAAGGGTAACTGCCTCCCTCAACCCTTCTCCAGGCTCATCTCTGTAATTTACCTGCTGAGAAACCAGCCTAAGAGGTCTCCCAATGCAGGAAACATCTCATCTTAAAGCCGTGCATCACACCACTGTGTGTCTGCGTGTCTGCGTGACCAGCAGTAGCGCAGATGTGGAAACGGGAGACACAGCAGCACAGTAGGTAACGCAAGGCTGATTATGAGATAATAGTTTCCTAAAATAAAAACAAAGCCTATTTTTAAATAAAATGTAACATTTCTCTCTGGTTAAAAATATTAAATTGTAAGAAGGATTTACAATGACAAGTCAGTCTCCTTCCCTCCCTCCCTAGACCTATTGTCTCCTAGTATGTTCCCTAAGGCAATCACCATCATTATCTATCCATTTCTTGTTTTTCCTTTTATAGTCTTCTACCTTTTATACATGGACTACATACATATGTACATGACACACTTCCCTTTCACAGAAAATACAAATGAGTGCATGTTCCAACCTACCTCACAGCTCTTCACATTGTACACTTATGGTAAATGAGTAGAAACGAATACTTGAAAGTGAAAATGGTTAATTATAACATATCTCCACAGTGTTAGAGTATTACCTGTCCATCAAGTTAATATCTATGAAAATGTTACACTAAACATGGAAATATACCTGTTACAATTTTGAGCAAAAATGAAGCATAAAGTTGTATATGAAATGATTTCTATCAAGTTAACATACGTGGTCATAAGTCTGAAAGATGTGAAAATGTTTAAAGTGGCTTTCCTGGGATTATGGGCATTTCTCTTTTTATTTTTGTATCTTCTAAATGTTTATACTGGGTATTTCTTGGAAAAACTTAAACACAGAAACTTAAATTAGACCCAGATATGTGATTCCATATGAATTCCCTTTTTACAATGGTTTTTTTTAGTGTGTGAACTTACACAATTAACTGCATCACTTGGCCCAGCAGCTACCTTACCTTCTCTAATAGAAACAGTGCGTCTGCAGCATCTGCACATCTGTCAGCCAACATGCTCACATCCTCCTGGGTTATCACAGGTTCCTTCAGCTGCTCCACCCACGACCACATCAAACTGCACAGGATGAAAGGATCCCTCTCACCACATATTCTTTCCCAAGCTCCGTCTCGGGAATTTAGCTCTTTCTAAAAAGAAAGGAAGAAAAAAAGAGAAAGAGGGAGGAGAGATAAGGAAGAGAGAAGGGAGGGAGGGAGAGGAAGCAGGCACCATCTGACATCTGATGAACCTCAAGCTATCCAGGAGGCACACTGGGTTGAGATATTGAACCTCTCTAAGCCTGTTTCCCTCTATAAAGTGCATCCCTGCCCCACAGGTGTTGAGCAGCCTGAGGCCTCCTAAAGCTCCCAGTGCAGAGAATGGCTTAGTTATTAACCTAAGCTTTCCACCTCATTGAGAAACCACAGCAACAGCTCAGGAAGGGAGCCTGCCTTTCAGGGTCTTGGGGAACAAATCAGAAATATTTGCTGCAATGAAGTAGAAAGGTAGATTAAAATTATAAATAAAAGAACATTGGCAAATTAACCTGGGGTAAGGAAAAGCTTCTGACTGAAACTTTAAAGTGTATTCCCCAAAATGCCTAAAAGTTGATAAATGTACTTATTTCAAATTCTTTAGAATCCTATGTGGCATTTAACAAACAATAAGCACTGTACCCTGAAATTTGATGGGGTATAAACAACTAGGAAGTCTTGCCACTACTCCACATGCCGGGAGATAATTTAGGCAGGTGATTTTAAAATTTTGCCTCACAGAGAACAGAGGAAAGTGAGATAAAAATTGTAATTTCTGACAGGACATTTAATTTCAGATTTATGTTTTAGTAAATGAATATGCTTGCAATAGTAATAAGCATAGTAACTGCTACCATTCATTCATTCACCCATTCTGTAATTGTAGAACGCTTTCCTTATGATAGGAACTCTGATACATTACTTACCTCTGATTCTACAGCAACCCAATTCCCTCTATCGACAAATGTACTGGGGCTCAGGAAAGATAAAATAACTTGCCCAGGAGCCCAAATTGAGAAAAGGGCAAAACAGGCATTCCCACCAGGTCTACTCCACCCAGTCTGTGATGCTTCTTCATGCCACCAGGGTCCTCTGGTATAAATAAGTCAACTTGAGAAAACAGGCTGGGCAGAAACGACAAAACTCAAAGACCCTCTTATTAAATGACCATTACATCAATATGTTTTCTGAAATCTTCAGTGGGATTAGGAAAGACATAAGAACGATGAAAAGTATTAAACACATGAGCTGTATCCTGCTCTAGGGCATTTGGGCCATGTGACTGCAAGCATGTCATGTGATCCCTGGGACCCATAGTTCCCCCATCTGTGATACTTAATTTATAAGGACTATATAGATTAACAAAGAACCTGTGAATAAGATCATCTGCCTCCAAGTATTACTGTGAAATCACGAGATAAAAGACATGAAAGGGCCTAGTATAGGGACAAGGCGCATTATGCCATTTAAATCATGTTCATTTTACTTTTTCTTTTAAATGACTTTTTATTTTTCATTATAGTTGATGTACAATGTTAGTTTCAAGTTATATAAAGATCAGACCTATTTACATAATTTACAAAGTGATCACCTTGATAATCTAGTGCCCATCACACACCATACAGTATTGACTATTTTCCCTATGCTGTACTTTACATCCCTGTGACTGCTTGTAACTACCAATTTTTACTTCTTAATCCCCTCACCTTTTCCACCCAGTCCCCCAAGTCCCCTCTCCTCTGGCAAGCATCAATATTCCCTGTATCAATGAATCTGTTTCTGTTCTGCCTGTTCTCCTTTTCTGATTTCACATATAAGTGAAATCGTCTGACATTTGTCTTTCTCTGTCTGGTTTATTGCACTCAGCACAACACCCTCTAGGTCAGCGGTTCTCAACCTGTGGGTCGCGACCCCTTTGGGGGTCGAATGACCCTTTCACAGGGGTCGCCTAAGACCATCGGAAAAACACATATATAATTACAGATTGTTTTTGTGATTAATCACTATGCTTTAATTATGTTCAATTTGTGACAATGGAATTGGGGGTCACCACAACATGAGGAACTGTATTAAAGGGTAGCGGCATTAGGAAGGTTGAGAACCACTGCTCTAGGTCCATCCATATTGTTATAGATGGTAAGATTTCATTCTTTTTTTATGGCTTAGTCATATTCATTGTACGTATTCACCATTTCTTTATCCATTCATCTGTTGATGGACACATGTTGCTCCATATCTTGGCTACTGTAAATGCTGCTGCAATGAACCTATGGATGTATACGTCTTTTTGATTTAGTGCTTTGTGTTACTTTGGATAAATACCCAGAAGTGCAATTGCTGGGTTCTTCCTTGTCTCTTGTTATAGCCTTTGTTTAAGTCTATTTTGTCTGGTATAAGTTTTGCTACCCCAGCTTTTTTTTCTTCCCCATTTCCATTTTCATGAACTATCTTTTCCACCCCTTTATATTCAGTCTGTATCTGTCTTTCGATCTGAGGTGAGTCTCCTGTGGACAGTATATGTATGGGTCTTGTTTTGTTATCCATTCAGCCACCTGATGTCTTTTGATTGAAGCATTTAAACCATTTAAAGTAATGGACAGATATATATTTCTTGCCATTTTATTATTCATATTTTTTATCTTTTTTTCCTTCTTCTTAAAGAAGACCCTTTAACATTTCTTATAATACTGGTTTGTTGGTGATGAAATCCTTTAGTTTTTTTCTTGTATGGGAAGCTCTTTGTATCTGTCTTTCAATTCTAAATGATAGCTTTGCTGGGTGGAATAATCTTGGCTGCAAGGTCCTTGCTCTTCATCACTTTGAATATTTCATGTCAATCCCTTCTGGTCTATAAAGATTCTGTTGAGAAATCAGCTGACAGTCTTACGGGAGCTCCCTTCTAAGTAACTAATTGCTTTTCTTTCTCTCTCTCTTTCTCTCTCTCTCTCTCTCTCTTTTTTTTACTACATAAAATATTTTTTATTTATGTCAAAAAATGTACCTCTAACAGGCAAACTACAAACTGGGGAATTTACCTGCAAAATACATGAGTGAGAGGAACCTATTAAAAATTCTTACAAATTAGTAAAAAACTAGACAAGCATCTCAATGGCAAAAGCCGCATAGACATAATCAAAATACAAAATACAAAATTAATAAAGAAAATTTTAAACATACCAAGTTTTGCCTATCACAATGACAATGAGAGAAGAGAGAACATAGCCAATGGTGATATGTAAAGTATAAAAAACCAATTATAAATGTTTTGTTAGCAACATGACAATATATACCTTTTGACAGTACATACTTCTGAACGTTTTCTAAGAAAAATGAAAATGTATAAAGATTTAGTTAGATTACTGTGGCCAATAATAACAGGCTAATAAATTATGGTAAACCCATTTAATGAAATACTGTGCACACATTAATGTTGCTGAAATATGACATGGAAAGACATTCACCACCTAAATTTTTAAAAAGTCTTCAATGGAGGCCACAAAACAGCATAAGCAGGGAAAAAAAGTTTTTTAAAATATAAAATGTGTACTGAGAAAGTCTAAGAGAATAGACATCAAAGTATGATGTTTTCATTTGTCTGCATTTCTACAATGTGCACAGATTACTTGTTTGTTTTTAAGAGAAGTACTGAAACTTGAGTGCAGTAGAAAAATCCTAATTTCAAAGCATCACAGTTTGAACTGAATTGAATAATTTCAGGTTAAATGCACCTGTTCAAAATTCAAAGTTCACCATTCTGTTTGGAACAATTTTTGAGAACCAAATGGTCCTATAAATAAGGAAACAGATGTAAAATGACAAGAGAGCAACTGACAAAATGACCATAAGCTTTGTTCCAATGGCTATTGCAGTATAATAAATAAAATGACAATTAACCCAAACCACCTTTATTTTAGTCTTTAATGTTCTTTTCCCCCCAAGTTAAACATGATTAACTTAAAAAATGGCATTTACAATGCCTCTTCAAAGCATTCCCCTTTAACGGGAAACATGGCTTCACAAAATCTAGATAGTGAAAGGTTAAAAAAAATGATATTCTATTGTCAGTATAAGACAAAACAGAATCTAACGTAAGTCAAAGAAATCCATTCATACTTCAGGTCCTTCTCCTCCAGGAACCAGCATTGTTATATTACTTCTATTTAGCAAAATCTGGCCTAATTTAGTGATCCTTCTTCATTCTGGTGTGATTTAAAACTCAGTGACATCTTCTAGTACCATATTGACAAAGTCATCAAATCCTAGAAGTGTGCCAACAATTTCTTATCACTCTTCATCACCATTTGAATTCTTGAGCCTATACACTTATCCACAAGCTCTAGGCAGTGGTTCTCAACCTTCTGGCTCTTTAAATACAGTTCCTCATGTTGTGACCCAACCATAAAATTATTTTCGTTGCTACTTCATAACTGTAATGTTGCTACTGTTATTAATCATCATGTAAATATCTGATATGCAGGATGGTCTTAGGCGACCCCTGTGAAAGGGTCGTTTGACCGCCAAAGGGGTCGCGACCAACAGGTTGAGAACCGCTGTGAGAGAGGCATCAGCTGCAATGGGTTAGTGGTAGCGTTAGCCACCAATGCAACACTGGAAGTGCATCCTAATTGCTTTTCTCTTGCTGCTTTGAAGATTATCTGACTTTAATCTTTAACATTTTATTTATTTTTGTTTTATAGCAGCTTTATTTATAATTGCAAAAACTTGGAAGCAACCAAGATGTCCTTCAGTAGGTGAATGTATAAATAAACTTTGGTATATCCAGTTAATAGAATATTATTTAGCACTTAAAAACTCTTGAAAAGCTATGAAGGAACTTTAAATGCACATTACTAAGTGAAAGAAGCCAATCTAAAATGCCAACATACTATATTAACCCAACTATATGACATTCTAGAAAAGGCAAAACTATGGAGACAGTAAAAAGATGAATGGTTGCCAGAAGCAGTGGGGATAAGCAATGAATAGGTGGAGCATGGAATATGTTTAGGGCAGTGAGAATATTCAGTATAATACATAATGATGAATACATGTCATTATGTATCTGCTCAATGTACAATAAACACCAAGAGGGAATCATAATGTAAACTATGAACCATATGTCCATGTACTATCATAATCCCACAAAATTCACAGTTTACACCATAATTCATCAATGGTAACAAAGGAACCACACTGGTGGGGGATGTTGATTATGGGGAAACTGCATTTGTGTTGGGGGAAGTGGGTATGTGGGAACACTTTATGATCTGCTCAACTTTAGCTATTTTAAAAAAAGTTGTCTGAAGTCAGCACAAGTAATACTGAAAAGTTGCTGCTCAATGGTTGAGTGTCAATCTATGAGCCAGGTCAGGGCACATGCCCGATTGTGGGATCAATCCCAAGTAGAGGGCGTCCAGGAGGCAGCCGATCAATGATTCTCTATCAATCATTGATGTTTCTCTCTCTCTCTCTCTCTCTCTCTCTCTCTCTCTCTCTCTCTCTCTCTCTCTCCCCCTCCCTCCCTATCTCCTTCCCACCCTCCCTCCCTCCCTCACTGAAATATAGTCCAATAATGTTGAAATAATGAATGTGCTGAAAACAAAAACGATAGAGCACTTTGGTGACACCCAATAGAATAAATTTGATTGACTAAATAAAGCGATTGTCTTTTCACCCTCATTTTCAAATGCCTCTGCACCATGATATTACTGGCAGAGATGAGAGCAGGAAAGAGATAAAGAGGAAAATAAACCTGTGTGATGAAAGAAAAGATATCATAGAAATGAGCGTTGTATATGAAGCAAAAGTAAAAAAAATTAAAAAGGCACATATCAAAAAAAGACATGAATAGAATATATTAACAAAAGTCAGAGTGAATCCAGAGTAACTTGACAACATAATGAAGAAGGCATTCACATTTCCCCAATTAATAAATGGTTCTATTGCCCTAGCCAGCATGACTAAGTGGTTAGAGCATTGGCCTGTGCACCAAAAGGTCTCAGGTTCAATCCCCAGTCAAGGGCATGTACCTTGACTACAGGTGATCCCCAGCTGGGTCAGGGTGCATACAGGAGGAGCCAATCGATGTGTCTCTCTCACATTGATGTTTCTCTCTCTCTCTCCGCCTCACCTCCTTCCACTCTTTCTAAAAACACAATGGAAAAAATATCCTTGGGTGAGGATTAACAACAACAAAATGGTTCTATTAACTTTTCCTGATGGGAATCCTCACCCAAGGATATTTTTCCATTGAATTTTAGAGACAGTGGGAGGGGGAGAGTCAGAGAGGGAGAAACATTGATGTGAGAGCACCACATCGATTGGTTGCCTCCCCGTATGTGCCTGTCCAGGGCTGGGGATCGAGCCTGCAACCAAGGTATGTGTCCTTGACCAGAACTGAACCCGGGACCCTTCAGTTTGTGGGCTGATGCTCTATCCACTGAGCTAAACTGGATAGGGCTGATGATCTATATATGTTTTTAAAATATATTTTTATTGATTTTTTACAAAGAGGAAGGGAGAGGGACAGAGAGCTAGAAACATCTATGAGAGAGAAACATCGATCAGCTGCCCCCTGCACACTCCCCACTGGGTATGTGCCCGCAACCAAGGCACATGCCCTTGACCGGAATCGAACTTGGGACCCTTGAGTCCGCAGGCTGATGCTCTATCCACTGAGCCAAACCGGTCAGGGCTGATCTGTATTTTTTAGAATCGAAAACTGTAATGAGGTAAAGCTGGACATAATAATTGAGAAAATGCTATGTAATTTTTTTCATATAAAAATGGCAGCTCAGTAAATGATCAAAAATACTTTTTAAGATGTTCTATAGTTGTCAGGCACTGGGAACACCTTGTCCGCCAAGTGCAATTCTAAAAAGGGTAGTTAAGCCACAGGTGCAAATGCATCAGCTGAATGTATGACTACTTCTTATTATTTTCTTCTTAAATAGAGGGCAATCCAATGTGAACTTTTAACATTCTCCACAAACATGGACTCCATATTTCTTAGAAAGCACTGAGATAAGGCTCCATTTGATGTAGGGTTTTTCCTAAATGCGTATCTGGGTCTAAACCCAAAGCTGCTACTTTTATGATGATTGCCTGAATGTTAGAGCCTGTCGTCGCTCAGAGCAGATTTTTGTTTCTCTACCAAAGTTAAGCTAAAGGCTGAAAATTAAGCCTTTACACACATTTTCTACTAAACATGCTGATAACCAGAAAGTACAGAACCTACTGACATTCCTTCCACTTTTTTTTCCTGAAGTTTCATAGCTCTTGGAGATCTTCAGCCTCATCACCTTCACACTTGGTGTACACTCATCCTGTACCCACACTCCTTCCTCTTATGGTACGGCAACAGAGGGGGAAGAGCCATTGCTTCTTCATACAAATCAATGGCATGAGGACCCACTGTCTGATACATGTAGCTATCCAGTTCACCTGACCCCACTTGGTTTTCAGCTGGTCTTAGATTTGCTAAAACAACAATCTAATGCACAGCAGCAATGCACTGCATCATATTGTAACAGCTGTCCTTCCCACCACCGATCAGAACTACAACCCTCATGCTGGGCGCAGTGCACAGGCATAGTGGGCCTAACCTTCAGCATTTAAATTATGATGAGTCTTGGTGTGGGCCTATTTAGGTTCATCTTGGTTGGGACTCTCTGTACTTCCTGGACTTGTATGTCTATTTCCTCACCAGGTTAGGGATGTTTTCCATCATTTTCTGAAACAGGTTTTTAAACCCTTGGTCTTTCTCATCTCCTTCCAGCACCCCCATGATGTGAATGTTGGTATGCTTGAAGTTGTCCCAGAGGCTACTTATACTACCCTCACTATTTCGAATTCTTCTTTTTGCTGTTTGGGTATTTTCTGCTTCCTTATCTTCCAAATTACTGATTTGATCCTCTGCTCATACTCTGATTACATATAATGTATTCTTCATTTCTGACTGGTTCTTTCACATTTTCTCTCTCCATTTTTATGCTTATCTCTTTGTTGAAGTTCTCATTGAGATCACTGAGCATCCTTATAACCAGTGTTTTGAACTCTGCATCTGGTAGATTGCTTGTCTCCATTTTTGTTTAGTTCCTTTTTCTGGCATTTTGTTCTTTCACTTGGGATGTTTCCTAGTCTCCTCATTTTAACTGCTTCCCTGTGTTTGTTCCTATGTGTTAGGCAGAGCTGCTGTCTCCTAGTCTTGGTGCAGTGGCATTATGTAGCAGGTGTCCTAAAGAACCCAGTGGCACAGCCTCTCCGGTGTGTCCGTGTGAACTGTGTGCATCCTCCTGTTGTAATGTATTGCTATTGGTATGCCAATGGGAAAAACTTACCCACAGGCCATTTTGCCGTAAAGACTGGCCATGACCTCTATGGAGGATCTGCTGTGCAGGGGCTGACCCCATGGAGCAGGACTTGCTTCAGTGGGGATCTGATGCCCACTGAGACCAACCACATCTTGAGTGTGGTTTAGTGTGTCACTTGTGGAGGTGGTTGGGTGGTGCTTTGGCATGTTCTGAAGCTGTCCACCAGGTGTGCTGGCTCTGGGGCCTCCAAAAGGTGCAGGGCAAGGTCAGCTGCTGCCTGTGCCCTGCCCAGGGCCACCGGACATGAGCTACAAAGCAATCTGCAGATGGCTGCTACTTATGCTAGGCTTGAAGGTGATTGGGAGAGGCCAAGCTGCCTACCAAGGCTGGCTGCCAATAGTGTCAAGTTAGGGGCCACTTAGCAAGAGGTACGGGGCATGCTGAGGCCAGATGCTGCTTGTTTGAGATTTTAGGAAACTCTGCAGCATGAGCCAAGACAGGCTGTTAGTATAGAAAAGCCACTGGAAACAGCTTGGGTGGGCCTGGAATTTGGGTGGAGCAGGGTCTCAGGGAATCACCAGGGAAGATAAAACAGTGTTAGCCAGGTTGACGGAGACTCAGATATGATGTCCACTTGCAGGCTCTATGGGGGAGGGCTCAACAAAGGAAATATGGTCTCTGACAGCACTTCTGTCTAGGGGAAAGCTGCCCCTCCAGCCCTTGCTCCCTGTAGTTCCTTCCTGTATGTTCCTGGCACATTTTAAGCTGTTGTGAGTCTAAGTCTATGCACAGGCCCTTTAAGTGGAATGCCTGGGACTCCAGGAGCCCTCCATCTCATTTAGTCACCATCTGTGCTGGATTAACAGCCAGAAGTTATGGGAACTCCTCCTCCTAGACTGGAATATAGGACTGGTGGAATGCGGTGTGGGGCTGGGCCACTTGCTCCTCAGGGGGGACCTCTGCAGTGGAGATATCCCTCCTTATTTAAAACTGTCACACTATGGGTGTAGGACCAACCTGTTCTGTTCTGAGTTCTGCCCCTGCTACCAGTCTTCACATGGCTTCTTCCTTATATCTTTAGTTATAGGAGTTCTGTTCAGCTAGGTTTCAGGCGGTTTTGAATGATGGTTTTTCTGTAGCTCAGTTGTAATTTTGATGTGGTTGTGGGAGAAGGCAATTACCTTCCGCCATCTTGACCAGAAGCCCTCTTAGTTTACTCTTTCCAGAATTCAATTAATTTGTTTTTATTACTGAAAGGCTTATAATAAACTCTAAAAAAGAAAAAAAAAAGGCAAACCTATCCAAACAAAACAGTAGTATTTACCTCTAGAAAATGCTTTCATATATGTTACATGTTGAAACAATGTGGCCTATGTACCACACTGAGCAGTGTGGGCACAGAGGGGGCTGGCCCACGAGGGGCATGAGCTGTCACACTGGAAGCTAAAGGGTCTGCTGCTAGCTACCATGACATACAGCAATGCAGCAGCAAGACCTGGCCCCTGGGTGGAAGGCTTGTTCAGGTATGAGTAGGGAATAAAGAACACGCTTCATGTTGAAAAAAACAACATCAACCCACCACATTTAACTACTGACTGAGCAAACCAATTCTGATGGCAAAAGTGTGTGAGGCGCTCTCCTCCCGTCACAGTTACAAGCTGACGCGAGGTTCCATGTCTATTTTCCTTCCCCTGCAGCAGGAAGGTTCTGGCCCTCCTCAGAAGCGTACACACCCTGCTTCACTAATGGCAGGATACAGAAGAGCTGCTATACAAATAACTTGTAGTTGATTATGGGCTAACAAGGCAAGATTTCACTAAGCCAGGCCTCCCTGGGTCAGCCCCACATTGGGCAGTTGATCTGTTCTGATAACTAAGTTTATAAGGCCTGCCTTTCCTCTAGATCAGCTGCTCATTCAGGGCAGAGTGTGTGGTTGATTTAAGACTGTCTTTCTAGTGAAAGTACTACTCAAAAAAGGGTTAACATTTTAAATTTCAAGTAAAAGCCAAGAAAGGGACCCAAAAGACTTAACCTCAGAAACCCATGGCACACAGGTACTCTGTAGTTGCTTCCATTTGCTTTACAGATCTGACAGGTGCCACTGGGGCAGGACCGGGGAGTCTGCAGAGGGAATGCTGAGCAAATGGCATCTGTCATGCTCCCTCCAGACCTCACTCAACACTTGTATGGATGACCTTTGTAAAAGAATTTGTTCTGATTTCATTTATGTGTCAGTGTTCTCACTGCTAGGCCTTGGGTTGGCCTAGAGATCTTTCAGGTCAGTTTACAGCTGTCTGCTATGGCCTGTACATCTGTCTGTCAGTCTATCCCACAAACCCAGCAAGAAAGAAGGAAGTTACTAATATCAGTCCCATCCACGCCTCTCTCTCTCAGGCACCCTGCCAAGTGCTAAGTGCTTTCTTCCACAGGAGACTGAAGAAAGTCTGTCATTTCTATGACATTGGGCTCCGATTACAGCTGAGAAACCTGAAGTTCGGAAGTATGATAACAAACATGTCTTCATAATTATACAAGTAAATTTGGGAAAATGAATGATGTTTTTGCATATGTAATTAAGTGAAATGCAAATACCTGCCACATTTCTACCTTCCTTTTCACTTCCTCCTTTTCTGCAAACTCACTTAAGTTTGCCAGGGCTTTGGCTGCCAGTATTCTCCTTTCTTCAACACTGAGTTCAGACTGTAGAGCAGTGTGTGGAGCGACTTCAGGCACATCTTTGCTGCTCTGTGTTTTAGGTTCAACCGAGGACTGTGCTTTGGGGCTGGAGCCATAGTCCACAGGACTGCTGCGGCCACCATGAACTTCACACTGACATGGGGTCCCTTGCTGGGGAGAACAGTGTGGTTTCTTAGGGATATCTGCAACGTTGGGTGTAACTGGTTCCCCAGGGTTGGATGAACCTGAAACACCTGAAGAGAAGGTTCTACTTCGCTGTACTTCCTTTGGAATATTCTTCCTTTGGAAAATTGGTGACCCGTCATCTTTCAGTCGTTCTAAGCCTCCAAATTTAGTTGGATTCCAGAAAGAAAATGTATTGTGGACCAGCATTTCCTTATTGAAATCCAGCTGTGGAGTCTGTGGGGTGTCACAGTGGCCTATGGGCATCCGCTGCCTAGGGATGTGGCAGAATGAGATCTGAGCAGATGCTGTCCACGGGGTCCCTGACTGCTCCAGAAGTGACTCGGCTCTCTGTAAATCTGAGTCGCTGTAGCTGAGTTGCCTTTTCAGGTGAGTCAGGGGCTGAAGGCACTCTACATTCCGTCTCTTCCACAGAGGGTCAAACTCTTGCTCACTGGGAAGAATCATATCCTGATTCTCAACATCCGCCGCCACTGCAGTGGGAGCGAAGGAGTCCGACGCCTCCCTGCCGTGCCTCAGGAACTCTCTGTCCAGCTGCATTGTGACCACCTCAGAAACGGTTTTTTCAATTTCGGCCGAGAGGCCGGGTGCTTCTACCGCTTCTGTCACTATGGGCCTGTTCTCAGCTAAGTCGAGCAGCAATTTGCACACAAGGTGGATAATTTTTGGCACGTGTTTCAGAAGTCGCGCCTCATAACCATGAAGTAGATGCCGCTGGCGAGTCAGATACTGTGTTAAGGTGACAGCATGTGCTTTGGGGTCACAGCAAGAGAATATGTTGCGAAGAGGAATCAGAAACTGAGTAAATTCCCTCACACACAGTAGCTGTCCTCGAGTCTGAATGGAATTGGGACGCTTTGCCCGAACAAATATAATGGCTTGATCAGCAGTCATTCTTGTTGCAAAAACTAAGTAACAAGCTATTAAGACACCTACATAGTGAAGAAGAAAAAACTAGATGAGAAAAGCTTATATATATTTTTATTTATCACTCTCAGATTATTTAAATTTTATATGTTTTTAGAAACCATATAAATAGGAAAACGTTTTAAGGATAATATAACTTTGTAACTTTTTGCATAGGTGTTTATATATTTATTTGTCTATATGGTACCCCTTGCCTTGACTGAGAACACTCAGTGCACACTGTACCCAGAGGAAGCACAGAAATTGTCGCAGTGAAGCTAAGTGTGGAGTAACGGGGGATGACGGAGTATTTGTGGAGTGAGTGGGGGATGACTAAGTGTGGAGTAACGGGGGATAACGGAGTAATGGTGGAGTGAGTGGGGGATGACTAAGTGTGGAGTAAGGGGGGGATGATGCAGTAATTGCGGAGGGAGTGGGGCATGACTAAGTGTGGAGTAAGGGGAGTCAGTGTGGAGTTGGGGGGAATCACTGAGTGTGAAATAGGGGAATGACTGAGTAATTGGGGAGTAAGGGGAGGTGATCTAGCATGTTTATCCGCTTATGCTCAACTCTAACATGGGAGAAATAAAATCCTGCTTCTATTTCCCATTTAACAGTTTCTGAAAATTTCCATCCAATGGACCCATACACTGCCTTTGCCATCAGTTGCTGGAATATTCCTGCCTGGCATTCTGCCAAACTGGACATTTTTAAATTTGGGAAGCAGTCACATTCGCAATCTATTGCCCTCCCCCCCCCCCCCCCCCGGACAATTCTTCTTATAGACTTGTCTCTACGTGAATATGTGTTTTTTTTCCATACCATGATATAACACTATATTGCTATAAGCACTTTACATTAAGGGAAACATTATAAACATTATACATTCCCCTAACGAAGCTCCTGAGCAGGTGGGAGACTCCATGGCAGGTACACAGGTACACTACGGCCAGAGTCAAGCTCAGGTGTATGGTTGAACCAAATGGTAATGAAGATTCCAACTCATCAGTCTTTATTTCTGTCCAATACCAGCATGACACTGAGATTCTGCTGCCTGTTTAAGTAAAATAATTGATTTTTATATAGAATTCTAGGCATGAATAGACTCTCCTTCACAAACAAAATTCGGACAGTCATGAATTCAAATCTTGGCCCTTCCACTTACTTGATGTAGCAAATTGCTTAGTCTTTTCAAAATTCACATTGTTGCTAAAGATTTATTAAGACAGTAAGTGTAAAATGCTTAGAACAGTAGGTAAAACAATGCTTGCTATTTTCATTATTATTTTTAAAGACATTGGATATTAAAAAATATTATTCTTTATATGTTTAAATATACTACAAGGCAATAAAACAACCTCCTAGAATTTACCTGTTCGACCAAGCCCTGCATGACAATGGATAGCTACTTTTCCTTCTTGTAAGGCAAATGTCATCACCTTCACCATATCTAAGATGGTGGTAAGCGACGCTACACCATAATCCTTCCATCCGAAATTGTAGAAATAAACTGGGCAATGAAAAGAGAATAGGAAAAAAGCATCAACATACAGGAAAAATATTTCCAAGGAGATGTGAAGTGAGTGAGTTCATGAAGAGTAGAAAACTGTAAGGCACGCAGATCTCACTAGATGTGTAGGCCTGGAATAATAGGCTTTTTACATTTCCAGTAAGTTTATTGTTAACATTTCTTACAAAGCACATTCCCTATTACTTTAGGCATTTCCTGCTGAAACTCAGACAGAAAGAATTATGGAAAAGCAGGATTGCAAATTAATAAAGTCAGTAATCTACACGCAAATGCCTCAGCTCTGGAGAGAAAGCATAATCCTGGTTAAACATAGTCTAAATGACTGATAAACGGCAGAAGATGGTACAGGTTTTTCCACCCAGTGGGGAAAAAAGCTAGATGAAAGCTTCTTAAAAAAGTTCTAAAATCGCACAGGTTGATCCTTTCTAACCTGGTGGGATCCCACCCTGAAGTTCTTATGACTAAGGAGCTTCTGAAAGTGTCACATAAGGAATCCTAGCATCCTACCCAGGGGGAGAACTGCTGTGCTGCAACAAAAGCATTAGCAAGCCCTGGGTTCCAATCCTGCTAACACAGTTAGGCTGTGTGACTGGGCAAAGCAGAACTTGCTAAGCCTGGGTGAAGCAGAAACAACTATGTTACTAGACTGCTTTAAGGATAAAATGAGATAACAGGTCTGACATACTGTTAATGTTAATGCAATCACTAATCAAATGTTACCATTATTTCTACAGGGTCTCCTTTCAAGGTCCCTCTCACAGAAGAAGAAAGCCTGCCCTTTCAACAGCAATACCACAGAAGAATGGTAGCATTCTTTAAAGTTAAAGTGAGCTCATCTTCATGTTTAGGAGCCCTACTACTGCACAGTTATTTCCATCACCTTTTAAAGCTAAGAGCTGAGCAGACCAAAGTCTCTGAGTACTGTCTTGGAGAGAAGGGTGGAAGGACTTACTGCCAGCCTCCATGAAAGCCTCAGGAAGGTACGTGAAACCACTTTCTTGTTCCAGAGGGTTCCCACAGCTGGCATGCTCACCAGGCCGCTGCAGGTTAATGACTGTTTTTAAGCCATGGCTTAAAAGAAAAAGAAAAGAATGAGTCATACTGGGAATTAGCTAGCATTTTTAAAAAAAGTAATCACTTTTAGCATTAATAAACAGTATGAATTATTCTCAAATATCTTATTTGAAATACATTCTTTACACCTATTGTTAAAATGAAAACACTTTTCCATCGATGCCAAAAGCAATGGAAGAGAAAACATGAGCTGGCTTATTAAAGTGTATGAACAATATGACATTTTACCTCCGAAACTGCTCGATGACGCAGTATTTCTCAAGGAGCTCAGTGGACGGGCGAGCCATGGCCAGGATGTTATCGGTGATCCTACAGATGGGATAAAAGACTGGTGAAATCACAAAACCTAGACCATTCCAGCTCCATGGACTGAGAGCAGGGTAACTAGCTACTATTTTTTTTTTTAGGATTTCAAAAACTCTGTAAGATAAAAATCTCCTTATCCAAATCTGGCCTAAATTTTGCATTATGATTAGGGCTCTAAAAAAAAAAAAAACCAACCCTACCTAGCTGCTTAAATCTCTGGGAAAATTCCAGGGCTTAAGTATGGACTGCAACAAAACATTTTCAAGGACACTCAAGAGATTCTAGTGGACATGATGGAGAAACCCCAACTGGAGCAAAGGTGAGGTTCATTATCCATAGGTTTTTAACCAAATGAGGGGGACAACAGGAGGCATTTTCAGTTCTTGAGCTATCTGCAGTTCAGCCACCTATGTGTTAAATGGAATAAAAACACCTGCTTTGGACGGTTGGTGTGAGAATTCAACATGACACAGATGTAAAGTCTTCAGCAAAAATCCCCACACATGGTTATTAATAAATGCTGAGTTATTGCAATTTAGCAAAAAATAAGATCTCTGGAATCAGTTGGGCCTGGTTTCAAATGCTGTCTTTTCTACTTTCTAAAAGCTGTGTAGCACATTCCTTAGTTTCTCTGGACCTCAATTTCTTCACCAATAAAATGACTTTACCAATGCCTACTTCACAACAGTTTGATGAAGAGGAGGTAATAATTTGAAAGTGTCTAGCACAGTGCCTGGCCTGTAGCCAAATGCATGTTTATTGACTGCACAAATGGACAGAGACCTAAGAAATGGCTACGTACAAGGTACATCAGGCAGTCTACCCAAAGATGTGGGTCACAGGAACCTGAGAGGAGTAACGTTAAATAAACAGGGCAGGATCCAAAAAGATACCAACTCCCCCCTCCATCCCCGGCGTAATGCCTGAAATTCAACAGGGCTCCCCAAAACATTGGAACCCCCAAGATTTAATAGTACTTGGTATGAGATGAGGAGAGATGTAACATGATATCAGCAGAGGCAAAACAAAAGATTCAGATGGTTCAGTAAAAAACAAATAAAAATATTAATGTGGCCTTAAGCTGCATTACTAGAAATTACATCAGGAATAGTGTTGGCTTTCTCACAAGGTTCTTCAAGAAAGACAGTGACGGACTAGAATATGATCTGTGCAGAACAGTGACAGTGGACACCCAACATTATCAAAATCCATGTACCCAGCAAATCCAGTATGAAAAAGTATGGGTTGCAAGTTAAGAGACTCTGGTCAACAAATTTGGAGAACCAAGATGGCGGCATAGGTTAACGCCGGAGTTTGCTGCTTTGAACAACTACTTCAAAAGTGAAACCAAAAAACGGAAGGGACATCACCCAGAACCACAGGAACGCTGGCTGAGTGGAAGTCCTACAACTAGGAGGAAAGAGAAACGCATACGGACACTCAGAGGAGGCACAGTGCTGAAGTCAAATTCTGAGGTGCGGAGTGCGTGGAGCGGGCTGGTGGCGGAGGGCGCGGTTGGCGTTTTCAATCGGGAGGGAGTCGCAGACTCTGAGCTCCAGATACAGGCGAGTCTTTAGGGACCCAGACTCAAACGGGAGAAGCGGGACTGTCTGGCTTCGGTCAGAGCGAGTGCAGCTTTCTCTCTGAGCTTTGCAGCAGGTGCTGGGACTCAGAGAGGCAGAGCCCCTGGGGACAGGACTGAGAGCCGCCATAACTGCTCTCTCCGGCCCACCCTGTTGATCCTGTGCGACCCACCCCGCTCAAGCCCTGCACTGAGGCATTTGCCGGATAGCCTCAGGCAAACGCCAGATTAGCACCTCCCTAGAGGACAGAAGTTCTCTCACTGCTGACACAGCTGATTCTCATAGCCACTTGGCCTGGAGGTCAAACCCTCCCTGGTATTAGCTACAACAATCACGGTTTAACTATAAGACTGCGAACAAAGACCACTAGGGGGTGCACCAAGGAAGCATAACAAAATGCGGAGACAAAGAAACAGGACAAAATTGTCAATGGAAGATATAGAGTTCAGAACCACACTTTTAAGGTCTCTCAAGAACTGTTTAGAAGCTGCCGATAAACTTAATGAGATCTACAAGAAAACTAATGAGACCCTCGATCTTATATTGGGGAACCAACTAGAAATTAAGCATACACGGACTGAAATAACGAATATTATACAGACTCCCGACAGCAGACCAGAGGAGCGCAAGAATCAAGTCAATGATTTGAAATGCGAGGAAGCAAAAAACACCCAACCGGAAAAGCAAAATGAAAAAAGAATCTAAAAATGCGAGGATAGTGTAAGGAGCCTCTGGGACAGCTTCAAGCATACCAACATCAGAATTATAGGGGTGCCAGAAGATGAGAGAGAGCAAGATATTGAAAACCTATTTGAAGAAATAATGACAGAAAACTTCCCCCACCTGGTGAAAGAAATGGACTTACAGGTCCAAGAAGCGCGGAGAACCCCAAACAAAAGGAATCCAAAGAGGACCACACCAAGACACATCATCATTAAAATGCCAAGAGCAAAAGATAAAGAGAGAATCTTAAAAACAGCAAGAGAAAGAAACTCAGTTACCTACAAGGGAATACCCATACGACTGTCAGCTGATTTCTCAACAGAAACTTTGCAGGCCAGAAGGGAGTGGCAAGAAATATTCAAAGTGATGAATAGCAAGAACCTACAACCAAGATTACTTTATCCAGCAAAGCTATCATTCAGAATTGAAGGTCAGATAAAGAGCTTCACAGATAAGGAAAAGCTAAAGGAGCTCATCACCACCAAACCAGGATTATATGAAATGCTGAAAGGTATCCTTTAAGAAGAGGAAGAGGAAGAAAAAGGTAAAGATACAAATTAGGAACAACAAATATGCATCTATCAACAAGTGAATCTAAGAATCAAGTGAATAAATAATCTGATGAACAGAGTGAACTGTTGATTATAATAGAATCAGGGACATAGAAAGGGAATGGACTGACTATTCCTGGGGGGGAAAGGGGTGTGGGAGATGCGGGAAGAGACTGGACAAAAATCGTGCACCTATAGATGAGGACAGTGGGTGGGGAGTGAGGGTGGAGGGTGGGGCGGGAACTGGGAGGAGGGGAGTTATGGGGGGGAAAAAAAGAGGAACAAATGTAATAATCTGAACAATAAAGATTTAATTAAAAAAAAAAAGAGAGACTCTGGTCAACAAATTATCTAATTTGTAAATGGATTCTTGCTATATACATTGGTTCATCACTATTATTCTTTAAATAGTGATTTTCAAATGGGATTTGGTCTGATTATCAAAACTTTTCAGGTATCACTAAATTGAAAAGATCTACTTGACAGTTTACTATTAATAAACCATAAAAAATGCAAGCATCTTATATTGCCCACTGAACTGACAACTTGGACTACTACTATTGAGGCAGACTGAAGATGTATTTGTGTGAAAGTGGGTCCTTTCACACAGAGAATAGGACCAAAATTAAAGTAAGGTTAAAGCTTACCTGTATGAAATTGGAAACTACCTCATAATTTTTCAAATTTATAGCTTAGCATTTTTATTATTTCTAGCAATTTCTGAAATTTAAGAGCTATCTAGTTACCATTTCTTTAAGATATTTACATACATTATTTCACTTAATTAAAAAAAGACCCTATGGCATTGGTTGTATTATTTCCATTTCATAGATGAGAAAACTGAGGTTCAGAGTGCCTAAATGAGTAGGCCACAGCTTGTCAGGCAGCAAGAGATAGGAGGTAAGGTTCTGACTTCAAAACCCCATACATCTTCTTCCATGGCCTCCTGCCACCCGGCACTACATACATCTTTACTACCTTTTTCAACTTAGCCGCAGGGAAGAGCTACAACAGACTGACAGAATCACTCACCAGGATGAGTAGATCCCCTTAATGGCCTGCTCCTGCTCACTCCAGCGGGCTGGATTTTCATATTTGCAAGCTCTGCCCCCACAGGCCATGGAGCAGGCCATGTGTCCAGGAATGACATGCCGTAAACGCTCTCCGACTTTTGTATACTTTGGTGTTGGACGTCCTGAATTGCCTAGAACATGCAGGAAGGGATTTGAAACTCCACTCTCCAAACAGAAGTGACCTGGGAAACGGCTGCCATTTTATCTCAGATTGCAGATGGGGAGCTGGTGCTGACCACCCTTTACTGTGTCAAGATTAAATCCATTTCCATTGCATCTAAGTTCACTATCTCTTAATGTAGGAAACTCTCTCGTACACAATCTCCACATGTCATACTGGTCACAAAGAGAAGAAACCATAAAAGCAGATCTGTTATAAGGGAGTGAGGTTTGTTCAGAACTACGTTTTTAAAGAAAAAACACACAAGTCAATAATTTTATCTATTATATATCCACTGAAACTCTCAGCATGACAGACAGTAAAAAGTATAATGCAGAATGGTCAAAAATTAAAAAGGTATAAGCACAGCACAGCCTTTTCACATTCCTTACATTTAAACTCAAAGTTGAGGCAATCTTTAAGAAGAAAAGGAGTTTTACTTTTTCTCTCGGGGCAAGTTGGGTTTCTCTTGGCGCAGCTGAGAGAGGACACAGCTAGCATCACCTGGAGAGAGGATGAGGAGAGCATCTTGGTGGCGGAGCTGGAGCCGGAGCCGGAGCTGTGCTGCCCCTGCGGCAGCCTCAGTACTGTGTCTGAGGCGGAGTGCCGGCGGCCCTGTAAGAAGGAGCTGAGGAAGGGCATGGCCGAGAGCCGCCGGGGCGGGTCCTGCATGGCGCTGGGCCCCCAAGAGGAGAGCTGGAGGCCAGGAGATGTCAGTGCCAGCTTGCTCCGTGATGAAGTTACACTGAGATAAGAGCATCACTCTGCATGATCTAACAGCCATTCAGGATAGGCTGACTTGTTTCCATAGTGACGAACAAAGAAAGTACTGATTCCCACTCAGAGTTGCACAGGCAAAGTCCCACATGAATGAGCTGTGTTTTGAACAGATTGTTCAAATATGTGGAGGAAACATGCATTTTAAATAAATTATTCCTAAATTACAACTATTCTATTTTGTTTTCCAAACATTTAAAAGATTTGACTGCCCAAAATATTACATCTAAAATACTGTAATGATAGAAAGTTAATTGTAATGAAGTGGGACATGCTGGATATTTATAACATTATTAAACCACCACTGCATTTTTTAAAACCAAAAAAATCTTCTGTTTTCTTGGCGGAACTATTAAATACTTGGATAGAACAAATAAAGATGTCTATAGGGCTGATATATTAATCAGAAGACATTTACTTTTAGTTTTTATTTTTAGAATGTGAAAACCCAATTCTTGGCGATACCTTTATTGGATAGTTATAATAGTCAGGCTTCTCAAAAACTCAAATACAATTCGGTGCCTTTTGTCAGGGACTGGGGAGAAAGAAGCTTGGGTAATGTCTTGGCAGAGGCCTACAAACAAACCTCACTAAGTATCACATTTTTTAAAGGAACTGGGTGAGGGGGTGTTGTAACTTGAGGATAAAGAATATAAAGGGAACAGAAACTGTAACAACCACCAATTGTCCTCCTCTTCCTTGGTTAATGTCAGGCTGTACCGCCCCCCACTGCAACACTCCACCCCTCATCTTTCTGTCTCTTGTCTCCAAAGTGGTATTTAACCACGTGCACATGGAAACAATCTACTGCCATAGATAGGGCTCTTTTTTGTTTTGTCCTTTTCTATTTTAACAATTAATAATGCTTTAAGCAAGCACGTTTTAAAAGGAACCCATCTCCCCAACAGGATGCACTCTGTCAAATAAGGCAATTTGGTGCTCAAATTCCTACTCACAATGTAGCACCATGCCCTTGCTATTCTGTGTATAGCGACAGAGAATAATTTTTTTTAATGTAACCAATCTAGAAGCACAGCTTCCAAAACTTTACAGGAGAGAAAAGAGTTGGTGCTGCGTGGAAGGCAAGTTGGAACCTGATGGCAGAAGACCCCCGACTAAGGGGCTCTCACCTGCTACCTGGGGATCAGGGAGTCAGACTCAAGTTCTGAACAAGTCTCTGTGCAGAGGTTCACGCTGCCCTGCAGAGACAAGGCTGGAAGCACAAACCTAGGGACCTACGGACAGTAATTGGAGCAGAGCAAGGGTGTGAGACAGTGCAGAGGCAGACAGATGGCAGCTGGAGGGGGGCTGGACACAGTGCCGGGAGTTCCTCCCTAAGTGAGCGGCAGAGAGACACTGAAGCTACTGCTGAACACAGGAGCCAGTGAGGAGAAGGTGTGTGACAATCTGGCAGGCAAGCTCCGTTTGAGATACAAGGCATGTGAGGTAGCAAAGGAAATCTCAGCCAGCGAATGGGAGATCCCTATGTCTGCAACTCTAAGGACACCTACAGAGGAGAGTCCAGGTGACTGCTCTCAATGGTTCTGAAGCAGAAAATAAGTTTGATGAGGGTGACTAGTCTGGATGAAGCTAAGGGTGGGATAGTTAACATAGCATCTCAGGAGTAAGTTTCGCTGTGAAATCTTAACTGGGCTGACCTCAAATAGTAAACATGTAACCATTTAAGCCCACTCAGTTACTAGACAGTTAGGGACTCTGACTGGGAGTATTTAGGGAAGTGGACCCACTCCTGTGGCATGCGCTGCAGCTAGACTGGTGCTGAGGTGGAGCACAGCTGACCTGTGGGCATGGTAAGCAGGGGCAGAGGCCTGCACTTCCCCTAGACACAACAGAACTGTCACTCCACCAATTCATGCTCCAAACTATTCCTTGGCAAAACTCCCAACTCATGGCCATATTCATTTTTAAAAACTACATTTATTTATGCCAAATGGCTTTAATAGGGAAGTGTACCGCCAATCCCACCTTGAACATTCTAGACTCATCTCCCTCCAGTCTTTGTCCATAGGCATGTGGATTTTCTGCATGTTCATAATCATATTGTAAATACACTTTTTGCTTTAGTTTTATCATGATTTTTATTTAATGGAAACACAATAATTATGACATATTTAGCTGATACATAATTTACTTATTTATTCCTTAGCTCTTAGATATTTATATTATTATCCATGATTTTATTTAAAAATAAGACAAACATTTTCAGGACTAGAACCTTTCTGATTCTATGTTCTCTTATTTAATAAATTCCTAGGGATGGTATGACTGGTAAGCAAAATTAAATTTCAAAGCTTATATTTTTACTAGAGGCTCAATGCACAAAATTCGTGCCCTTGTTGGGGGGGGCGGAGGGTCCCTCAGCCCCATCTACGCCCTCTAGCAGTCCTGGAGCCCTCGGGGGATGTCTGACTGACAGCTTAGGCCTGCTCTGCTGCAGAAGCAGGAAAGACTCCCGCCACTGTGCTTACCAGCCGTGAACCCAGCTCAGGGCTTCTGGCTGAGCAGCGCTCACCCTGTGGGTATGCACTGACCACCAGGGGGCAGCTCCTGCATTGAGCGTCTGCCCCCTGGTGGTCAGTGCATGTCATAGCAACTGGTTGTTCTGCTGTTCGGTAGATATGCATATTAGCCTTTTATTATATAGGATTCACATATTTCAACAACTAAGTATGAACGTGCTGAAAGAGGAAATATTTTTAGCAACTCAACACAGGTTTATTTCTGAGATCAGAGAGAAATACAGAACTAAAATACAGATCAAGAGATGCTATCTCTGATAGGGTTTTGTGCCAACTTCTTGGACCCCAGAAATCTCCTGATTAATTTTGTGGATCAATTTTGTTATATATACCCACATTTTTGTTTCACAAATCTATAAGAAAGCATATTTGTGCTTCACCCTAAAAATCAATTAAAAATTTTAAATAGGGATCAGTTCTAGTTTGCTAATGATAAATTGTTCAGACTCTTAGAAATAACATCTTAATTTTTATTTAAATTATCAATAAGAAAAAACCAGAAGCCATATCTTTAGATAAACAGGAGCAGCAAGACTATATTAGTTTCTATTTCATATTTTATAGAGAATGGAATGTTTTAGTCATTTTATGAAGGGCCATGCTTTCAGCAGACACTTAAAAGGCACAGAACCCTTCTCCTAGTGGCCACAGAGAGCTTCTGTAGAAGCTCGTTATCCTCAGCCGCATTAGCCTCTCTCTGCTTTCCTTTCCTCCATCCCGCACAATCATTACTTATTTGTAGGCCACAAGAACCAACACTACTGTTGTTTTCCCACATACCTGCTAACAACTGATCTATTTTTCCTCCTTTGACAACATATTTTTCTAAATACATAAGAAAATGTCAGTTTCCTATATTTCATGAATATAAAATCATGGGGGACCCTGCCTCATTACTGTCCCTACCCTTCTCACTCCTAAATATACTGTCTCTAAAAAAAAGTCAGCCTCCAAGAAAAAGTAGGAAAACAATATAAAAGATAATCCCTGCAAGCAATCCTACACTCTCCTGAGCTGCTGTGATCGTCAATGTACGAAAGACCCCTCTCCCAGCCTAATGTACACGGCCTGCTTGCACATGTGGTGTGTGTGGTGGTGTGTGTGTGTGTGTGTGTGTGTGTCCCACCAGATACTGTTGTAATTAACTAGTTATTAACAATAGAAAAGGAACAAAGAGAAGGCCAGACATTACAGGCAGGTCATTTGGGCAGCTTCACCAGGAGCTGCAACTGCAACCCCCAGGGAACCACCTGCCCATTCTCTGTAGATCGCTGGCGGGAGGGGTCCAATAAAGGATAGACGTATGTGCAGTGAAGCTGGGGTGACCAGGGGAAGTACCTGTCAGTCAAACCTGGGGAACCACGGACTTGTCAGAATGGATGGAACCAATGAAAGCCTGCAAAATTTGGGAATACATAATCTCCTAATAAAGGAGTTCTCTGTCTTGTTGCTCTTGACTCTTGGCTTCCTGGCATTCGCCAAGCCCACATGCAATGGACAAATGGACTGATGCTGGACTGGACTTGGCTCCAACATGGAAAGAAAATTCTGGACACTGGCTCTGATTTTAGCTCTGCTGAAGCCCCAACTATACTTCTTCTATGACTGGACTAAGAGAAATGGGATCTTGGAATTTCAGGGGTGTAATTCCACAGAAATAAAAGCTTTCTACAATATCTCATCCTCTCTCGCAAGTTTCAGAAAATTCTTTTTCTTGGGATATTGCAAGGAATCCACCCCCACGAGCAACAGGTGGGGATGAGGACCTCTCCCCACCGGTAACACACCCACAGTTTTACTCAGAATCATCCAGAGTAATATCTAAGGAACCAAATGAGATACTGGTCACTGCAATGTGAAATTATCTACACTTGTCATAAGCACAATAAACAACAAAATTAAAGACAAATCTCAAAAATTGGTAATTTCCTGTTATACTCAAGATTTCAGAAAGGACTAAGAATTCCTACTCAGAGAATGGGGTGGGAGCAGGAAGTCCATCTAACCTCATTCCTAAATCAATAAAGGAGTCACGTCCAGGAACTGGGCTGGAACACCTACTTTCCAACCTATCATTTTCCACTTTTTGTGACAGGAGGCTCACTTCTCACATGGCAACTAATTATTTAACTGCTGTACAGCTCAAGAGGTTTTCTAATGATGAGTCAAAATCCATTTTCTCTGTAAACACTGGTTGCAAATTCATCCCTCTAAAACAAACAAACAAAAACAAACAAATCATCTGACTTGCAAGGTATTTAAATATCTGAAGACAAAACTTCTCCAAGATCTCCCCTATTTAGGATAAGTTAATTTTTTCAGACATCCTTAGTATATCACTGTTTCCAGATCCTTCACTATGATTCTCCTTCTAACGGACCCCCTTCTCCCTCCACAGCTAAACTCCTAAAAAAGCTGCTCATGTCTATCATTTCCATTTGTCACCAGTCTCATCCTCAACTTCTATTTAACTCTGGTCTCTGCCTGCCCTGAAACTGCTCTGCTTAAGGTCTCCAATAGCCTCTGCTTCAAGATGGACTGGTTCTGACTGCTCAGAAGCATGCAAACCAGTTGAACAACTTAACTTTAATTTTAAACACTTTTTGGAGAGGATTTTATTTTATTTTGAATCAATCTCAAATTTACAGAAAACTTATAACAAAGAATATTTTCTCTTGAACCATTTGAGAAGAAGCTGCAGATAGGCTGTCCCATTACTCCAATTAACAGCATTTATTTCCCATAAATAATGAGGTTCTTCTCTACAATTCCCCCAAATTATGACTGATACATTACTAGTTGCCCTTTATTCCATGGACCTCACTCAGGCTTCACTGATTATCTCAATACTAGAGGCCCGATGCATGAAATTCATGCAAGGGGCATGGCCCCCCTACCCCCGCCCCACTGCGGCTTTGTCCAGAAGGTCATCTGGCCTAATTAGCATATTACACTTTTATAATTATAGACTAGTAGCCCTGTGCATGAATCAATAGCTCGCTGCAGCCCTCCTGCAGCTCTCTGCCCGCTGCCCCGCCCTCCTATAGCTCTCCCTGCCCCCATTCTTCCCCAGCACCCCCTTCATAGCTTTTTGCCCTGCCCCCTACTGTAGCTCTCCGCCACCCACTTGTAGCTCGCTGCCCCACCATCCTGCTGATCTGTGATCCGGTCGTTACATGGTCAGTTGTTACGTAACTATCATTTGCATATTACATCTTTATTATGTAGAACTAGTAGCCCAGTGCATGAAATTCATGCACATTAAAAGAGAATTAATTGCCCTAACTGGTTTGGCTCAGTGGATAGAGCATCAGCCTGTGGACTCAAGGGTCCCAGGTTCAATTCCTGTCAAGGGCATGTACCTTGGTTGTGGGCACATCCCCAGTGGGGGGTGTGCAGGAGGCAGCTGACAGATGTTTCTCTCTCATCGATGTTTCTAACTCTCTATCTCTCTCTGTAAAAAATCAATAAAATATATATTTTTTAAAAAAGGTAATTAGAGGAGATATTTTAATATTGGTATGTGCCCTTTCTCTATAATATAAGTGTGAGAGATGAAAGGAAATTAGTAAAATGTATATGAAAATAATATATAAATTTATTAGTAAAAAAACAGTAACAAAAGGATATAACAACAGAGGCATGATATAAAAATGACAAAAACATGATATGAAAACAACAAAAACATGATATAAAAACAACAGTGATGCAAACAATGACTGATAAAGTGATTAAACTTATTCTAATATCTCCCTGTGCACCACATTAAGAGTAAAAACACTTTCAGAGTGCTTGATTAATTTCCCTTGTAATGAAGTATTTAGAACTTTAACTGTAACGTCACATGCTCTTCAAACTCGAGAGAAAGCAACATATAACTGACCATGTGCGAAAACGGGTTCAGGTAGGAATATGTCTACTCTGTGTAGAGTTTGTCCTTATGATTTATTAATAGTCATCACAAATGCTGGCATCATGGGAAACTGTCATTGAATCAATTTAAATGGGAGGCCAGTGTCAGATGGGGACAAATTAATTCTTGGAATCAGAACAACCTTTCCCTCTGCAGATCCTGTTAATACTTCAGCTTCGATAATATTAGGTCATAATCTTTTGATAATAAATCTGGTACCATTACAAAGACCCCATTTACTATTGAGATTTCTCAATAGCATGATGATTGCACCCACTTTCAATTTTAATTTATGAGATGGCATTCCCGAAGGAGTAATACTATTAAGAAATTCGATGGGAAAATTTTCCTTTTCAGCATCATCTGTGGAATCAATGGAATCATCACTCAAATATGTGTGAAAATCTCCATCGAGTATATCCAAATTTTCTTCATTTAATTTTTGAACATGCTTTTTGGACAAAGAATTGCACGTTTAGATATATTTTTAATATTATCTATAGCAGTGGTTCTCAACCTTGGCTGCACATTAGAAT